ACGAAAACACACAATGATCATTCAATCCAAGGATACTTCGTCATTACTTTCAGTTTTTTAAAGAAACTAAGAAATATGGCAGAAGTGTGGGAATGGACCTAATTATACTTTTCTTAACGCTTAATTACATGTATTCAACACGAATTTTATGTATCTTTTCACTACGCACACAATCTGCATAGAGTGAGTAGAGATTGTTTGAGCAGCGAACACTTTCAGATACAACGTTTTTGAGCACTACACTTGTTTGCCCATTCATTGCAACAACGCACTGACCTGTTTCTCGAAAAGAAAATAAGCGAATACAAAACACTTTTTGATATTATCCGCGCACGTTTTCTTGATACCCTCCCCCCCATTTCGCTAGATGCGAAAGACTTATTTTGACGACAGGACGATTATAAACCTGTAGTTCGTTTTGAAAATAGTTTCTATTACACGGGAGCTAACATTTCTGATAATTAGATTTTGTCAACAAACCTCATCCCTAACATTTATTCTAAATTCAATTAATGTTAGTGAGGAGTGGGGGTAGGTATGCCGGAGCTCAAGAAAAGGTGAATCAAATTCATTGTGTTGATTCCAAAGCCTCCTGCGCCCAACTGAATTTCAAGTTGCATTGAGCATTTTTACTTTTCCTCTCTACACTATAGAAAAAGGGGGAAAAGTATTGGAAACACTTCAACAACACGATCTCGAATTTTCGGTCGTAAAAGCCGTGTTTAAGTTTATTTTCAGTTTAATTCTGACGCATGTTAAGATGTAATGTGTATTATATTTCATGCAAAATTGCGGGAAAACTACTTATGTTTTCGAAAACTTTTGCGTGATATATTGATGTTCTGTGTTTGAAGAACAGGTTTTATTAAGGAAAGTCTTTCGTCAATGTTGTGGTAAGAAGACGCATAAAAATTAAGAACTTTTGCAAGTTTCTAAAATTTTTGAATTGAGAATTTTTGAATATACTGAGGCCAAAAGTCAAAATATCCATTTCAAACTCGTATGGTCTAGGGTTCGGCTAGATCTATCGGCGAATATCGATTTTGGAGAAAGTCGTCTGAACGATTTAGGCATAAAAATTGACTACACACAGAGAGACCTTTGCCGTCAACCAATATTTCGTGATCAAAGGCTCCCCAAAATGTGGATTTTTAGAAGATTGTTAGATGACATAATTTTACACTTTTTTAAACATTATTTTGAAACCTTTCTGTATTTTTATTTGCAAATTCAGAATTATTATAGTACACCTCTTTGTTTTTTTTGAACAGATTAGATTTTAAATAAATTATTTATATAATCTAAAGCCATTCATATTTATAATTTTTTAATTAAAAGCCTGTTAACGATACATTTCGAGACGCGGTGTCGCCTACTTTTTAATAAAAAAATGTATAAGCATAAATGACTGTAAGTTATATAAATAATTTATTAAAAATCTAGTCTGTCAAAAAACAAAGAGGTTTATTATGTCTGAATTTACACTAGTTTTTCTGCCGAAAAATCACCGGGTTTTGCCGCAATGTTATAATACTTTCTCTATAATTACGGGTAGAGGGAAACATTTTTGGACAGTATACTCGCCATTATCCGAGCCCCAGTTAACAGAGGTAGTATCGGAAAAAACAGCCTAATAATCTATTGGAAAACACCTATCTACTGTTTCTAGCGCTAGAGAGATAAGAGGTTATCATCTAGCAACTTTGCTTCAAATACTTTATCGAAAAATATTCTTCTTCGAAGAAACAATTTGTTCATTTTTATCCTAGTGTTTATTGAATGTTATTAATTATTGATGTGTCATCCCGTGTTAAGAGTTGTTTAGCTTTAGCTACAAAATTACATTTTACCACACTTTTATGGTTATTTATCCAATTAACGCTAGATAATGAGAGTTTTTTTCGTTGACCGAGTAGTCTCGGTCCCAAAAATTCTCGAATCTACTTTAATTTGTGCCGTCTGAAGAGCAGAGGAGAACTAGATTTGCAGGTGCTATGCCGGTAGAAATTTTGACAGAAGTCACGTTCTATTACGCCTAGTATTCCCCTCGAAGGAAGTCTACTCGCAGAGGAGCTTAAGAAATCGATAAAACGTGCAGATGGGAAGCGAGAGCCACTGCGCAAGCGCATACGTGCCGAGGGTCCGTCCGTCATCGCTGCTCAGTCAGTACCTGTCTCGCCCTTCTCGGGGCAGCGAGCCCTTCGCGCCCTTCCGAACAGCCTCGCCCGGCACGGCCCCGCCCTGTTCCGCCCTCCACCCCACCCTCGCACTGCTCCGCCCTCCACCCTCCTGCTCTGCTCCACGGCCCCACGAGCAAAAATAAATCCTGATAGCGAATATCTTGCAAACGGAGCCTGTGTATCCGTATTTGTGCTTGCGCCCTTCCGAGTTGCTGGAGTTGGTGCGCGGCGGGCAAAGGGCTTCGCCTGCCGGGTCAGCAATTGCGGCTCTCTGGAAGGTGGTGAGCTTGTGGAGCGGCCAGGGACACCTGTCGGAGTGGCGTGCCGCCTCCAGCACGCCAGGCGCTGCAGTCACCCTGCCGTGACAGCTTTTCCACGTATCAGTCGATAATACGACGGCCAATGCTTTGTGGTAAAGCGCAACAAGAAAAAATGTACTCCCTCATTTGAAAGACGTTGCTAGGAACCAAAACCATAAAGAAATATTTTTTTCCAAAAAGTACTAATCGCGGTAATAATGATGTACATAATACGCATATGTAACGGAGTTCGCAGTTTCGCAGTAGTTTTTTTACCATGCTGTAATGATACAATTGATGTACATTTAAAATACATTAATTATATGTATAAATCCAAATAGTTGGCACCAAATCTAAATAGTTAATATTGAGTCATTATAAAACAAGAAAATAATAAGATAGCTGCATAATGTAGCAGCATTATTTATTTCTGTATCCTTTACACTTCGCGAATTGAAGTTAAAGTAACTACGGATAGATTGCGCCATATGTACTTCGTAAGCCAGTAGGGCCAACCTAAGCAGATTAGCGACGTGAGTGATTTACATTACATTTCAATGACTTTTTGGGAACAGTGAATAATTGTATCTCACAATTTTCAAATAACTTAAATAATATTTATATGAATATTTGTTTTTCGAAAAAATCGAGATTTTTGTTGTCGGTGTTGCCTTGATCTGCAGAGGATTCCAACATGCCGTGATCCTTGCAGTCGTTCTTCAAAATGGCAGGCGTATCGACCCATGTCAGTGAAATGGGTAAGAAATTGTGGTGTTTTTGATGGTATGTGTGAATTTGTAACAGTGTGGGGTGTGACATATTTTTATTAAGTGATAACATAATGTGAAGGAGCCAGGAATATATTGACTTGTGTTACGAACGGTGCTGTCGTTCATTTTAGCTGCATTGCTTGTAGCTCTTCGGTACTCCAGGCATATTTGTGTGGGTAGTAAAAAGGTGCCGTGTGTTAATGTATTTTGCATTGTGGATTCGTACATAATTTGTTTTCTGATACCAGTACATCATTGAAGGTAATAGGATATCTAAAATGAACCGTACTTCAGTGGTAAGTTCTTAGCCATGCCTTGGTTACCCCTGCTTATACGCATCCCCCCTGACTGCTGAGCGCAGCGGGGATGTCTAGACAGCAGGGGACAATATCGAACGGTCAGGTTTTGGGTTTTACCTTGGGCGTGGTAATCATCTAATTACTAACCAAAAAGTGAAATATAATTTAGAAAATCTATATATTCTTTATTGATTTCGTATTTAAGTGATTACGGCAAGCATATTTGCAGTACTCCTTTGGATTTCCTAGTTGTGTGTATACGTTGATAAAAATAAGAATTTGCATATCTAAATAAGTTTTTTTTGTTTATATTACTATAAAAGTTAATAGCTTTGCTATTGCACATGTGTAGTTCCTCAAGCTGGCAAAATGTAGTTCATCATATGCTGAACATAGTGAACATATTTCGAGTAATCTAGTGCTTTAAATTATTATTTCTAAATGAGTTTCTGGTATGTTGGTGTTCCAAAATATTTTGCTGATATTCCAAATGTAATACGCGTCCTGATTCGACTGGCACAGGGCCCGACGTGTACTTCTAGACGGAATGTCGTGTGCCAAGTGGCCAAATCGTAATTGGTTCTCTGTAACCCCTTACTTTTTCATTTTATTTTGATGGAGATTCAGCACACTATCAATTGCAATAAGAATGCACTTATTCTCGTATTATTAAGAATATTTAACAATTGGTAAACATGTAATTTCATTGCGCAGCTATTTTCTGTTGTATTAGTGCTGATCAGTTTCAATAGTATAAAAGTTTTACCCAAGTATTTCTAGACATATCATTAACATATTCATTTTATATGAGCCTGATCTAGTAACATTATTTAACGGATATATTTAGTTGTTCTTAAGACGTGGCTGTAGAATAATAAATATGAAAAAACAACATTATTTATTAAAATAAGTGTTTGACGGTATTTGATGAATGGTAAATTTTGTACGTGTAAAGCAGCAAGTTGGAGACACATGCCTTAGTTATATAACTTGGGAGGTTGTTGCCTTATTTTTTCTTGGCAGCGTCTCAGCGTTTCGAATTACTCTTGGAAAAACTCACCACGCCGTTCGTTTCCATTCTGAGGAAGATTTTGTTGAATAAACTAAACTAGTCGTGAAAATCCTTTTTAAAAAAACATGTACACCTCTTGAATACGAGTAGGATAAAGTGTGTTAAAACTTGCCAAGAAAAATGTTCGATTAGAAAATGAGGTTGAACATGTTTAATTGCCGTTGTCGTTCCTCGATCGGTGGGCACGGGGTGTGTCACCCTGCTTTGCGAGAAGAGGCGAATGCATGTGGCAGCTCGATTTTCTCGCGCGCCGCGCCCGCCCGGCGCGGGGCTGCCCGACCCACTCGCCGTTCATTATGCCGCGAAGTCGAATGTGCCGCGAGAGGCGACGCGTCCCCTCCCCTTGTCCAGCCCCCCTGCGTCACGGTTCGTCAGCTTCCATGCGAAGCACGTGCCATCCGTCCGACCGACCTCCCGACCGTGCTGGAGTGACAGCCTGCAGCTCCACTATAAACGATCGACTCGACGCGAGCAAAAAGATGCACCGCGGAGTTGCTAAACTTATTCGGTTTTTGTCGTCGTCTTGTGCTCCTCTTGACGATTGTAAATCAGTAATAATAGTTTGATGCAGCTATTTCATTGGAAGCACGTAAAATACGTGACAACTAAAAGATCACCTTGAAAAACGCTGCGTAACATAGCAGCCCCGAGAAGTTTGCAAGTACAAGAGCACCTACAGATTGATTCGTATTGCCTGGATATTGATCTTTAGAATCAATTGTTAATGGAATTTAGCGTAAGCGCTTTGAGTGGATAAATGCAGTTGGTTGTACTTATACATGTTTTTGTGACTTCTTGCACAATATTAAAACGATTTTCATGTACTGTCGTATTTGTGGTGTGGGCTCTTATTTAGTCTCATTTAATGATGTTTTAATGAGATAATGAAACGGCTTCCTTTTGGTAACTTCAGAAACTTGGTGGTCATTGTTCACTGATTAGATGCTTAGCTTAAAACGGCTACTGTTCTCAATTTTTACATGCACAATTGTTAATTTGATGTTCATGATGTTGACTGTGTTGTCACATGGCATAATTGTTACTAGCCTGTTGGCCTTCTTCCCAATCACTAACCTAATTTTAGGAGCCAGTGTTGGTTGAATCTTTGGAGCAATGGTTGCTCCCTGGGCAGAGGTTAGATTAGGTTCTTTCATGATTGTTTTACCTCTTCTAGAAGAATTCTTTGTGGAAATTATCATTCAAATATTCTTAGTGAATATGTATTTAGTAATAATTGAAAGGCTTTATTGTGTTTTATATAGAAAGGAAGTAGTAAATTGTTGTAAAGTATCTATGCTTACATTTGAATGTTTAAAAATAACAGTGTTAAAACTATTTGTTAGCATCTTATATTTTAGCCTTTTGACCATGAAGGTGTGCAGAGTAATTCCACTCACTAATTTCAAATTATTATTTTTGTAGGAAACAAGACAGGCCACTGCACCATGTAGGGGACGAGTCCACAGACCAAAACAATAACATCACAATGACAAGTGAAGACCTGCTTCAGCCAGGCCATGTGGTCAAGGAACGCTGGAAAGTGGTGAGTATTTGGATGCTAAGCTGCACTTAATGTGAATGCATGTACCTTTCATTTTCAGAAATTTGTTACAATAAGTATTTTATGTGAAAAGGTTCGCAAAATTGGAGGAGGTGGCTTTGGAGAGATCTATGAAGGCCTGGACTTGGTTACCAAAGAGCAAGTGGCTCTCAAAGTGGAGTCAGCAAGACAACCAAAGCAAGTTCTCAAGATGGAAGTCGCAGTTTTGAAGAAACTACAAGGTTGTACACAAGAGACACTTGGAATAGTTATTTTTCCTCATTCCTCATGAGTGGTTTTTTGAACAAGTGTTGTTGATTTGTTGTCTTATGGAATAGTTTCTTAAGAATTGAACATTCTCATGTGCTTGAAAAGTAACTTTTTCTCTTAAACACTGCCCATCATATTTATTAATTTTCAGCATGTTTTAGTACTACCCTTCCCAAAAGGATGCTATTCAATTTCTGCTTTCATCAATCTTTTCTGAAACTTGCTTGTCATCTCTCATTCTGTGTGTTTTTGAATTTCACAGCAATAGAGACAATTTAATTTCTTCCTTGCAACAGCGTTCAATAGCTGGATATAAAATACTATATTTATATACTCACAATTGTTTTTAACGGCCTGATAGCAAATTTCAGTTGATTTCATTTGATTTTATAGTAGTGATTTAAGAATATAAAACCATAATGGGGTAAATTCATCTAATATAAATCACATTATTTAAATAGGTTACATATTTTCTATAGAGTTCTAATTTTTCAGAATTAAAAAGAAAAATTTTACCTTAACTTTTTTATTGTTCGAAAGTACATTTCCAGCAACATTTTGCATATATTTTGCTGCTTTCTACGGAGTGTTATATCTCATTCGTTGTTGTAATGTACATATTCATCTTTAAATGAACTCGACAGTCCTCTTATATAAGGGGAAACTTCTTATGTATAGTTTGGGAAGAATTGTCAAAGGCTGTTTTTAAAAAAAAAGATTATTATTTCTGCCATTTGAATAAATTTCCTTCATAAGTTGCTTATCTTCAGTGTGCATTTTTGTTCAGGTTTATAGATTAAGAAAATTGGTTTAGTATGTGATAATCAACCAATAAAATTTTATAATGTAATTTGCACCATTATTCATTTTTCATATGTGTGATTATAGTTATTAGATTATTTATTCTTGAGTAAATTCTGTGCTCTTGATTAAGCAATTTTATCTTTTCTCCAGGAAAAGAACATGTTTGTCGTTTTATTGGATGTGGACGTAATGATAGATTTAACTATGTGGTTATGCAGTTACAAGGAAAAAACTTAGCAGAGCTGAGGCGGGCCCAGCCTCGAGGGGCATTTTCTCTTTCAACCACTCTGCGCTTAGGACTTCAAATACTGAAAGCCATTGATAGCATTCATCAAGTGGGCTTCCTACACCGTGATATAAAACCTGTAAGTGAGCTTTCTGCTCTTGCACCTTTTGATTTTTTAGATAATAAGTTGAAATTGGTACTCATAGAAATTGTTTTGCAGTCCAACTTTTCAGTCGGTCGACTGCCACATAACTGTCGAAAAGTGTATATGCTGGACTTTGGACTGGCTCGCCAATACACAACAGCTACAGGAGAGGTGCGTGCTCCTCGAGCAGCTGCGGGCTTCAGAGGTACTGTGCGATATGCTTCCATCAATGCTCACAAGAACAAGGTAAGAAGGCCTTTGCTTATTGGAAATGAACTGCTATTTCCTTGTAAAGGAAATTGATTACATAATTTTTATGAATATTTGTAAATTATGTTGTTTTATTATACATTGGACTTTTTCAAATTCAAACTCTGAAGAGAACTTAATAAAATTCAACATCTCTAAAATAACCCTCCCTTTTTTAAATTTATTTTATTTTTTTGAAAATTAAGTTATAAATGGATATCAAATTAATAAACATCTTTAATTGGAGTAATTAGTACTGTTGTTAATTAATTACAAACACTGGCATTTAATAACTCACAATTAATTGCTTTTTAATATGAAAAAAGTGTTTATTACTTTAGTATTGAAAGATTCATAATTTTACAAAGATACTATATTAAGATAGATACTGCGTTAAAAATATTATTATTCTATAAAGATACAAATTCTCTTAATTTCTTAAACCACTTTTAGAGTTTTTCTTCAAAGTTGATCTGCAAAGCTCTCCATGCTTTAATATCCTGTTGCAAGTGTGCTATGATCACTACAGATTTTAAGTTGATAGGAATTTTTTCTTTGTCATTGTTGAATTTTCTTCCAGACATTGACTTCCCAGTATCTTCATTTAAAAACAATTTGGTACTTTCTGAGAATTCAGGGTTTGATTTTGCCTTTCAAACTCACAGAATTCAAATTATTGAAATTAAATCATTGAAATTTCAAAGTAAACAGATTTTTGTCACTGATTTAAAGAAGAATTTTAAAGAATTCTTACTTCGCTTTGAATTAGCCCCTAAAAGTGGCAATAATTTTGAATTAAGAGTCCATTGAACATAAAAGTAATATCTAGAAAAGAAATTACTGAAAATTTTAACTGTTATGAATATCATTAAACAGTTTAGCTCTGAAGATCAACATCAAGGGTACTTATTAAGAAATCTTTAATACTAGTTATAGAAACTCTATTAGGTTTTGGATAATTCTGTGACTAGTATTTTCGAGTTAGAGGTAAAGAGAAACTCTTCAATTACTTAAGAAGTTTTCTTCTTTAATAGGAAATGGGAAGACACGATGATCTGTGGTCTCTCTTTTATATGCTTGTGGAATTTGTAAACGGACAACTTCCTTGGAGAAAAATAAAAGATAAAGAACAGGTGTGTATTTTTAGTCTTTATATTCCCTTGCGATTAGTTCTTGAAAGTTGGGAGTAAGTTGTTTTTAATTTATCTGTTGAAAACAAGAGAATGTGTGTCATGGAATATTAAGACTCCATATTCGTTATTTCTTTTGATGTATTGCAGGTAGGGTTAATGAAGGAAAAGTATGATCACAGACTCTTACTCAAACATTTACCATCTGATTTGCGTCAGTTTCTCGACCATATACAGTCCTTGGAATATGCAGACAAGCCCGATTATGCTGTGAGTACATATATTGTTACATAAGAGTTGAAAGTAATGACACTAATGTCGAATCAAATATAAGGTAGTATGTAAATTCAAATTAAGTTAAAAATTGTATGTAATAAAATATAAGTAAAAATATTAAGGTTGAAATGGTCAGTTTTGTCTTGTTTGTTTTCGAGAAAATTAAGCAAAACTGAATTGAAATGCAATTTTCAACTGCAGATGCTAATTGGGCTATTCGAACGGTGTATGAAGCGCCGTGGAGTTAAAGAATCGGATCCCTACGATTGGGAGAAAGTAGCTGTGCCTGACAATGCCATTCCAAGTGTACCAACAACAACACCTGCGATTCTTACAAGACCAGCTTTAGGGGCAACACGAATAACAGATAATATGCTTGAAGATAATCTTATCACTAGTCTGGATAATAACCAAGAAAACATTGAACCTGATAATAGACGTGAATTAGAGGTGAGGGAAAAAATGAAATTTGTGCTAGCTGACGATTCAAATATCATTGAAGAACTTTCAGTTCTTTATCATTTCTGATTTCTGAAAATAATTGTGGAAGATAAAATACAAAATAGTTAATTTCTTTTGAACTTTAAACTTATCAATTGTTCTTATTCCTAGGCACAGTTGGACTATGAGGCTGTGTGTCGAAGGCGGCGACATAATTTGCATCAAGATATGACATCTCCTTTGGTAACAGATACCAATAGGGAACGTGATAAACTTGTTATTGACAAGAACTGCAATGCTACTCTTGCTGCTACTCAGCCTTCCAATCAGACAGCTGATCTCAATGTCCACCAGGGTATGTGTCAGTTTATATTGCTTTTTAGCAGTACTGTGTGAAGATCAAATGAGAAAATGTTCATGCAGTATGCAGCACAGTTTAATGGCCAGGAGATATTTATTGGTGATGTGAACAATTTTTTTTCTGCTGCAGCAAGTCTGCTTTAGATCTGACATATTTTTCTTAAGGATGATATTAACCCTTTGACTGCTCTAGACAAGTTTATACGCAAAATATATCCATGCATGGTAGCCTCTGGACGAGTTATTACGCTCAGTCAGTTTTTTGCTGGAATCTTCTGGACGAGATCGTACAAGGAATTGCGATGTCCTGGAAGCCTCTGGATGAGTTTGCTTGTGCTTGTGTGTTTTTGGCTATCACTAGGATTTACTGATAACTGAGATGTCTTAAATTATATTTATGTATGAGCGAGCTCAGCTTTCAATGAGGCTCACAGCGTGAAGCATGACGCAAGACATGTGACTTATAGTCTGACGGCTCATAGCAGTTAAAGGGTTAAGCCTTGTGATCTTTGATTAATTGGATATTTGTCTAATTGAAAATATACGAAAAACAAAAACATTTATAAAAGATGAACTGGAAATGTCATAAACACTGATTTAATGCACTTTTCTTATGTAATTGGTTGCCAGTTCACCACTAATTCTTCATGTCCACAACTTGTTATGGAGCTAGGATTTAAATATCAAAAGAATCTGAAAGATCAGACATCAAAATTTAGTAAAATAATTTTATTTAAATTTAGTAAATAATCATGTACAACTATCCAGTACAAGAAAGTCTAAACTAAACAAAACAATTTTCAATTATAAAACACCATTCAAATTTTTAAAATATTTTTTAAACTCTTTAGATGTAAATACTGTAGATTTTAAGTTTAACTCATGTTACAAAGAGTACAAAATAAATTGAACAGATATTGTACATGCAAAATTTTACAAAAATGAAAAATTCGCTGTTTCAGATTACAATGTCAAAATATTTAATTTGTACACCCTCAAAGCAGGTGTCTAATTCTGTGACATGAGAAAATATCAATTGAAGATTACCCCCCTGATTATCCAACCAGTTGTGCAGACAGAGGAGCAATGACATGTATGGTATACATCCCTTTTCCAGTTTCCTTTCCATAACTGAAATTTATCCTTACTGCTTCCCATATATTTGTAGAAGATATTTGTTGTAAAATAGTCTTGCCTACATCTGAAACTGATTAATCAGTTCTTTTTGATAACAAAGTGGACATAACATGAAGGTCAAATTTGCCCACATTTTGTCAGCCTCATCTTTGTGAATCTACATCATTGTAGTCACTCTTAGAAAAAAAAGTGCAGAGATGGACTTCTCATTTGAAATGTTTTCCATGTTTCACAATTGTTTCATACTTCTGGCTCATGTTGCTTTGTAATTACTGTGTGATCTTTTTTCCCATAAGTTTTAATTTATTGAATATTAATGTATGAAACTTTGTTAGGCTCACCAAAGAAACAAGTTCCTCAGCGCCGTGCTGTATCAATGGCTGGTGTTGATCCAGTTCCTGAGAAGTCAATCGCCCCTGTGACTGATAAGGGGATAGACTACGAAGGGGATGCTGTAATGGCCTCTGCACGAAGCAATTCTGACACTCAGCAGCAGCAGCACAAGAAATCAGTGACACCAATCAGTACTCAAATGTTAAATCAAAACCAAAATCCATCTCGCAAAAGTGGTGCCACTTTCGGTCGCTTGCGTGTGGTGACTGCTCCTGCCACATGTGTGCAAGATCTTGGAAAGGCTGTGGAGCAGGACAGGGGGGATGGTGATGGTGTGACAGACGAAGAGAAAATAGCAGCCCAACATGATCCAAACAATCCATTAACTTTGCAGGCTTCTGAACTCCCTAGCCCGCGTATTAGGGAAGCCACAACAGAACCGGATGGCTCATACTACTCCTACGAAGCGACAAAAGCAGGTGGGTGCCCCTACAGGACTTCTCTCCTTTTGGTATATGTCATTCTTATATTTTGTGGCAAAAGATGTTTTGTGTGTGTTGTTGAATTTTATATTGTAAAAATTTGTTCATTCACACATGTAAAATTATTTATTCTTGCTATAACATTCCATAGTATTTTTATTTTTTTTGGTGATAAAAAAATGCACTTTTTTGAAAAAAATTCCTGTTATAAAGATTTGCATTTTGATTTTGAAAGCACTATGTATGTATTATTTCTTAATAAAGACTGGACGACTGTACATTGTGTTTTGTGTTATAGTCTTAAGGTTTTAAAGTGCAAGTGGCTTGAATGATTTGTAAAGTTGCAGGTTCTCTCTCGCATACTGTAGCAAGGGACAGAACCTTTTGATTGGGTGCATGTGATGGGTACTGAGAGAGTACTGTTATAAATTTCTACATACCCTCACAAGATTTTTGAAGAATCCTTGAAGTTAATTGGCATAATTCAGTTCTTGACAGAATGACAAACTTAATTTTTCACAAGATGATTTGTTTTAAGAAAGTTTGTTGAGATGTCTCATTTGTCTACATTTTACACGCTCCATCATTCTCATAGTTTTGTTTAGCCAATATTATAATCATTTTTATATAAAGGGTATTAAAATATACAAAGGAATAATTACTTTAATTGAAATGCAGGACTAACTTTAATTGAAATGAAACTAAGTACTTTTATTCTGTAGCAATCATATTATATTCAATGAATGTATGAATGAATGAAGATGTTATTTCAGAAAGTCAACATCATCATCTGGTGGCCATGTACACAAAATTTGAAAATGCAATATCATTGGAGAAGTGGCCTATAGAAAATAAACAGAGAACCATCTTTAATTGAAAAATATTAACAAACAAGACATATGTGGAATTTTCTCATGTAACAAAGCTAAAACCATAATCTGAATCAAATAATGAATTTAATTCATTTTGGGAAAACTTGGAGATTGGCCTTTTTGAAAGAACTGAATGTTTCAATGAAATTCCTTAATTTTTTATTCTTAAATGCTGACATCTTTTCTATTAATTAGGAATACTTGGGTCGTCTCCTGTGACAGATCAACGTGAACCTTTAAAAGAACGCACGAAGGAACATCGGGTGCGTCGCTTCCATTCGTCTGGAGGCTCTTCTGGCCGCCCTGGCATTTGCAAAGGCAATAACAGAGATGCATCAATCACACAGTTTGCGGTCATTGATGATGATAATGTGTCTGCTCTTCAACAAGTCACACGTGGTGGAGGAGGTATGATTTGCAAAGCTCGAATCAGTTAGGTTGAATAACATTCTACTACAGTTCTGATTGCTTTTAAATTGTGATAATGGGCCTCTGAACTGTACTGCTCCTATCTTGTGAAAGAAATTTCCAGAGAAATGCTTTTAGTGAAGAATCGCTCTTTATTTGTTTTTAGGCTTGACTTTGGCTTCTCAGTGGAAGTCACAGTTTGATGACTCTGAAGAGACTGATAATGAATGGAAAGGTGAAAATTTGCAGAGCCCAGAACATCGACATAACTTAACTTCTCAGGTAATATCTTTTGCAATTCCTTGTACTTCAATTTAACATAAATCTTAATCTTCCATTGGGAAGAAGAATATATGATCTATCAAAAAAGTATGATGGCAGTAAATTTTATTCTGAAATGCACTTCATACTCCTTTACTTGCTTCCAAAAATAATTGTAAGTGATTGGACATGTAGTCAAAAGTATTGTAAAGTAAATTAATTTTACTGAGGTTGCATAACTCTTTTATAAAGGTATCAAATTTACAGTGGTATCTCCTCATGAACTTTTAGTTGGACTGATGACTCTATTAGTATGTCAAATGTATTAGATATTTTTTATTGTTGAAAATATTTGGATATGGGTTTTTTCCCCAACATAATTTTCATGTTAACTCATCAAAAGTTTTAATAACGGTAGGCTAAATTAGAACATGATCAAAATACAGAAGAGGTTTTAAGGAATAGAAAACGTTATATAAAATGGGCAGTTCCTTTAATTCCAGGCCAAAGTTTTTTGTTTTTCAATATTTTTTAACAAAATATATCATGAGTGCTGTAAATCATTCTACTTATATTTTAAAGCTAAAAACTAATTTATCAGAAGAAAGAAATCAAAAAGAAATGAATTTTGTAAAATTCTTAATTATGTCAGCGTAAAGATTTGTTGCACTGATATAAAAATTTAGTAGAGAGAATCTTCAGTTAGAGAAATTGAATACATTGAGATCATCATGAAGTATTTATTAAGGAGCTCAAAAATTGTGAAATTTTACTCCCAAGCATTTACTGATTTATTTTATATTTTGGGTAATGTTAATTTAAACCAAACTAAAACTACTTTTCTAAAAAAAAGTTGTGAAAATCATAAATTTAATTTGTATTGGGGTAGATAGTTTGTTAATGTGATTATTGTGCTGTGTGCAGCAACAGCCCCTGTTCCCGTGTGTGGAGAGCGTGCATCCCGGGAGCGTGACATCGGTTGCAGCTTCAGTGGCTGACAAGCCCAGCCCTGTGGTGGTTAGCTCCCAGACAAGCCATCCTCAGCCACAGCAGGGCACGCTGGCATCTGCTTCTGCCTCTGCCTCTGCCTCGTCGGGGCCGGCTGCCACTCGCACAGTGGGGCCTCCAGAACTGTCGAGGATCAGTGAGGACTCACGGCAGGAAAGGCAGAGCCACCAGCACAGCCCTCAGGTAGATGAGGTGTCGAACACAAACACAATCTCTCTCTGCTGTATGCTCATGTGATAAAACTTCCACTGCCGTTTGATGGACTAAGAATGATGTGTAGTTCCCTGACGGTTGTTTTGTCCTGGATGTTTTGCAAGTTGCTTTATTTGTTTTGATAATGTAGTTCTAGTCAATGTTAAAATCTGTGATACTTCATTTCTTAAGGAAAGTTTCTTTTAGATGTGCATAACTCTTTGGCTTATACTCCTTTAACTAAAATGTGTAAAATAATTGAGACCCCAAGTCTCGCAATGTGATGTTTCTCTTATTTTTTCCATACTTATTTCTTTCAGTCTTGTGGGGAACAATGTCAGCTTGCCTTTTCTGCTGTATTCTTCTGTAGCTGTTAAAATTCAGGTGCTTTGAACACATTATAAGTGTGTGTGTGACGTGTTGACAGTTCTTCATTTTTTCTGATTTTTCAAATTTACCTTTTTCAATGTTTTATTTTTCCTTCATTTCTGTTCTTTGAAAATGAAATACAGTTAATGAGTTGTTGCTCTAAATATTTTGCCCTGTAAAAAGTTGAGACTATCAAACCAGAGAGTTTATAGCACATGGAATGCAGATTATGTTGAGGTCAAGTGTATAGAAATGTCCTCTGCATTGTGTGTAGAACTGAATGGAAATATTAGCTTATAATGCTGTTGATGTCGTAAATTGTCCTTAGGCACATGATGAAACCTTACCCGGAGCCGATAACAGTAGCAATGGCCACCACAAAGCGGCAGCTGCCCCTACTTCCTTACCTCAGCCCCCTCGGTGCTTGAACATTGCTGGCATAGAAAACTTTGTTGAGCTGCAGCCTGTGCTGCCCAGAGCGTGGAGTCTGCCTCAACTATCAGGACACATAAGGTCTGTCAGCAAGCAGTACCTAGTCTCTCTATGGGGAATGCGTTATATTTGTTTGGGAGCAACCAAGTTATAATTTTCTTCAGAATCACAATGAAGCTTTGTCATTAATCCATTAAACACTTTTCCCTTTGTTTGTGTCTTTTCTCTTTGTTTTAAAGAATCTAACTTCTTACAACCTCTTCAGACAAAATATGTTTATTTCAAATCCAGTGAGTAGAAAGTAATGTAATTGAGGTATATCAGTTCCATTTTTCATTACTTTAGCCTCCACCATCAAATTAGTTGATGTAAAATAAACACTGCTTTCCAAATCTGATGAGTTCGTGTTGCAATGAAGTTTTTAAATGCCAGACACACATGTGTATCAAGAATTAGAATAGTGCAAAAGTGCTAATTTTAGTGTGTTTAATTTTAATAAACAACGGGCTCAAAAACAATTTATTTTAAATGCTCACGTCATCAAGAAACTGCCTAAGTACTGATTTTAAATATAAAAAGGGAATAAATAACTATTTAAATAAAGAAAAATTGATATTCATTATAACTTGAGCATTGTTCTTATGATTTCGTATTAACTGGGGATGTTTGATAATGATAAAGGAAACGATAGTTGAGCTATGGAAATAAAATAGATAACAAAGTGATTTTTTAAAAACTTTTCTGAAGTCCTCAGATTACCATCCTTACTTTTGATTTTAAAACTAAGTGGAAAGTAACTGAAATCTTATTTAGTACAGTTGGATTCCATTATTTTTTCTTCAGAAATAGAGACAGTCTATTGAATAGAGAACCAGGTTGTAAAACATAATTTCTTGTTAGTTCATGATGATGAAAAATTAAGAGCTATTTAATAAAGTGAAGTAAAGTAGCTAGTGCACCACCAGAGACAACATTGCTGATGAGAGCAAACGATTTCTTCCTAATCCATCCTGCCATCCTTGTGCTCAGCACATTTTTATTTTTTATTTATTTGTTAAACATTCCTAAGCAATTCTAGTGACAGAGTTTCATTGTAGTTTTTCATGTCAGGTTTTAAATACCATTAAAATTAAGTCCATTACTTATGTAAATTCAGTGAATCTTCTTCATCATAGAAATATTCATCCCAAAGATGGGCTATGTGATAAATGGTGCTTGTATAGATAATGAAATATAATTTGATTAAATTATTGACACTAGAGTGAATTAAATATTTGAATTATTTGATAATTGAATATTTGTTCTCAAAAGTTGCAAAGATTTGTATAATATTCAGAGACTGACTGTTTAAGCTAATTTGTAACATTATGTTTGTTTTTTCTAATATATTGCAATAATGAAATTTACTTTTTCCTACGTTTGTTATTCTGAGCAATATCAAAAAGCGGTGTTAGTGAGGTTTTCAATATTTTATATAATCATAAATATTCTTTGATATTCCTGTTTCATAATACTTTGTTCTTTGTGTTTTGTACTTCTGTTGTATTTTACTTTTGTATCTTGGATTCTGTACAAAATGGTTTTGATACATTAAATATTTAAATTTGAAAGAAGTATTAAATTTTAATTATACTAATCTCTAACTTCATTAATTTTTAATTTATTACCTTGAATTATGGAAACAACTATAAAGTATTATACGCAGAAATTTGAACACAAAGAGCAAAATTTAGTGACTGATTTTGTGTTCATATTAGAATTTGCTCTTGAAGTTGTAATGGTGTGCATTGTAGACCTGCCCTTGAGCCACCTCTCCTCCAGCAAGCAGCCTTTGATGAACTTGTTTATGAAGTAGATGTAATGCGGAATATTGCAGTTAGAAGAACTCACGATGAGAAAGGAAGGGAAGACAAGGCGAAAGAAAGACGATCAAGTTTACCAGTAAGAGATAAAAATTTTCATTTTGAATTTATCTCGGTTAAAACATATGTATAAATGAAAAGTTAGATTTTCTTTCCGACATTTTCCATAATTATTTATGCATTATTTACTGTTTCAAATTTTTTCAGACAATGGCTTTGAATTCCTGCATAGCAACATCTAAAGACAAAATATCATCCACAAAAATTGAACAAAGCGACAAAATAAAAATTAGTCTTAAAGATGAAGGTGTGGGGTCAGAGGCCCAGGCTAGAGCACTGGAGGAAGAAGAAGATGAGGAAGTAGGGAATATGGAACCAGTGGCTGGGCGATTGGAAATTCGTGTGCTTGATCGTGCAGAAGGCTCTGCTGTTGTTGAAACTCATAACAACAATATGACTGTGCCTGTCGTGGCTTCCGTTTCATCTGTACGAAACACTTTGCCGAGTAACACAGTTCTCAAATGCAGTTCAGATATTCGATTACTTGATGGGAAGAAGGAATCAAGCAGCTCTCAACCGCAAGTCAGTGAAGTGGAAGAGGAGGAAAAAGGTGTTTTAGAAAATAATGCGCTTGAAGCAATGAGTAAAGTGTCTAAAAAGGAAGAGATGAACAGCTTAACTAAGTTAGAAGCATTTAAAAATTCTGTGGTATCCTGTGCGCCCACCAATGGGAATGATGGTAACAGTCCAGTGAGCCCTGGCATTGGTCAGGAAGATCCATCAGTGTATTTTGATGCAACTGATCATGCTGCAACAGCAACAGCAGCAGCCACTCCCCCTGCCACAACTGCGGCTGTTGCATCCACATCAGCAGCAGATTCAATGAATGGGCCTCAACACACAAATAGTGCATCATGCGTTGGGGAAGAAGCACAAGACAAGGTTTTTAGGCTCTTTGAATTTCTTTTTGACATACATTTCTTGTATGAGGGTATACAATTAATAAGATGGGAAGAGTGAAACAAAACTTAGGTCTCAATATTATTTTTTTAAGAACAGTTGAGGTTGTCTGTGTACCATATGTGGTTTTAAAAATTAATAGAGAGTAGATAAATGAATAATTACTTACCATTCCATACTTGTGTGTATTATTGTCCCAATTCATCAATTTTAATTTGCAAAATAGAGAAAATAAATTCTTCTGATTTACAATTACTCATTTCCTATAAAAGACAGCTCTTTTGTACTGCCCTTAAAAATTGTGTATTGATTGAAATATAAATTCTAGAAGCATTTTGTGAGCGTATGCTTATTACTTTCTTTTAAAAACCAATGTAAATAAAACATTAAAATTATCAAAACCAGGAAACCATGTGGTAAACAGACCCTGTAAATTTATTATACAAGGAGACTTCAATTTATAATTGAATGTTGTTGAGACATTGTTTTTTATAAATACATATGTTTTTTTAGACATGAATATTTCATATTTGTTTAATTTAGGCCAATACATAAAATAATATTTAGGTCTCGTATTTGGTTTTCACACATCACTTTATATCGAAAGTTGACAAAAATTTACTCAAGATCTTCTGAGATGTAGTGTAAAGAGTTTAATCTAAAAGTAATCGAGTTGTCACTTTGGTTTGCAAAGCTTGATAGCTGTTAAATAATGAAAATGTCTTCTTTTAGGGTATCTAGAAGATCACATTTTTATGAATTGAATTCTCTACATTATTTATTTGAATAGCAATTAGAACATGCATGTATGTTTTAATTCTTATGGGTTAATAAGAGAAATATTTTGAACATGATAAAATCTCTGCAATTAAGATTTTGAATTTGAAATAAATTTTAATAATAATGTAACTTGGATAGTTAGCCATACATTTGTGCATGTTTAATGTGCAAGTGTTTAACACAAAATGTTAGATTCTTTATGAATTATTACTAATTCCTGCATCGAAGTAGAATATCCATTAGCATATCATAAAATGTTTTTGTTTCTTCCCTTTTTCTTCCTTTAACTGTCTTTGATTTTTGTGGTTTCTTTATTAATTCCAGTTATGACCTTTGCCTTTTGTATAAAAATATGCATGATATCTGTAGACTAGCTCCTTGGTGGAATTTGTGTGTGGTAGTGGTAGAAATGGCATGGCATGATTGTGCCGAGCTCTCCTTCCATGGTGTGCCATTTCCACAGGCCAGGATAGGGACTCATGGCCTGCTTCTCTTCTTGTTGCAGGAAGTTTCTCGACGCCACTCCACTTGTTTATCCCCTGTTCTGGAAGCAGAGGAGAGAAACAAGAAGGCTGTGGGCCTTGGCTCAAAGAGCAAGATTCCTGTCCCTGTGAAAAGCCCTCGATGTAGTTTTGTTGAAATGGATAACAGGTGAGCGGTGGTGATTTCTTGTTGGATGTTAACCATGTGCATTGTGTGCTTGAATAAAATGAGCCAAAGTGAGAGGTGTTCCTAAGCATCCTTGCTCACTGTTTCACACAAGCTTAGCCTATCATTGGTGTGTTAATGTGAATGCACTAGTATCAGCATTTCTCTGGCATCATTCTAGTCAGAGTGTTCTTCCCTTCCACAGAAATGACTCAACTTGAAATTCATTAGTAAATATGTAGAGAAATTTAGGAAACATCTGGTTTCATTAAAATTAGATCATCCTCTTACATTTATGAAAATAAATTGATGATACTGAAAATATAATGTGAAAGATTACACGGTTATTAAAGTAATATGTTTTTCTTTGTCTTGTGGAACTGATTGAAACAAAGAAGTAAAGTTTTCATCATCCTTTTAATTTCTTTTAAATGTTCTTACAACCTAGTCATTTAGTAGTTTCCTTCCAACCAATTAAAACATTTTGGATTATGGCAATGCTAGTCTTTTGTTTTGATTTTTATTCTGATTCTTTGTGAAAAGAAAAAAATGTTGTTGGTAACTAGAGTTTACAGACTCTTCTGTCGCACTATGGTCTTTTTGCATATTGATCAATCCCATAAATAATACTGTTGGAAAACTTTTATCTGGATGTTTTCATCTGTTTTTTAAAATCATTATCAGAAATTCATTGCATTTGGATTAGTCATCCTGTTGAATTATATAAGAGGTCGAGAGTGCCACGTAAAACTTCAAACCACTAACAGTCTTCAACTTCATCTTAAATGTCTGAACTACATTTGTAATTTGTTTCTCTTCAATTTTTCTGTCCTCTATTACTAGAATTTGTGTTTCTTATTAGATGGTACTAAGTCTGACAGTTTAACACCAGAAAAGTTAATTAAGAATCACTTATTTCTTCATTAAAGTTTCGTAATTCATAAAAATATAAGGAATTTCATGGTAGACAAAAAGCAATAACTTGTGCTCTTTGAGTTGCAGAAATGTTACTTTGTTTGACAGATCACAAAATTACTGTTACATGAAATTAAAGTTTCTAAGAATGAAAATGTATGAAATGATTGACATCAAAAACAAAATATATGATATACTATTTCCAAATAATAATCAGAACTCCCTCACCTCTTTGATGTTTTCCACAGATATCAGAAGGATATGTATGAAAGTACATTGAATAGTATCAATTGATAGTCAGAAACAATCATTTTAATGATCACACAACACAATGTTTTCTAAGCAAGGCCAACTGTTCTTCCATTTCTTGTGAACTTGCCAAGTTGCGCATGACACCATCTTTCCATTTCCATTCTAGGAACACATTTCAAACATCGCAAATTTAGTTGCTTTTTATTAGTAAAGGAAAGCTGTGATATATTCAATATATAATGACTTCCACTCCTTTTTTTCTTTTTCTTGGTACCTTACTTGTTCAAAACCATTTGCTGGAAGCTGATTATCTGGGACATCAAAATCGTTTTCTTTACTGCTTTAATATATATGATAAATCAGCTCAAGCCCTCCATGCATAGAGTACTGGCCACGAGATGTTTTTTTTGTTTTTTGACAATACCTGCCCTCTGACTAGGGAAGGCCACTGGGGGTCGAAGAGGCGGTGGGAATTATAATTATCAAACACTCACAAAACCTTAATGCTGACCAAGGCGCGTCTCCACAAGGGCTGGAAACATCAGCGACACCGGTTGCATCAGAGCGCGGTACCTGCTTTTCCGTGACATCCAACCTCAGGTGGATTCTTTCTCCAATCCCACCCAGAGTTCTCGTTTCCTAACTGGCCAGTGCTTTCTCTGCATTGGCCAATAGTTCGGTCAACCTATTGCTGGGTGGAGGAGGGATCTCGTTTTAAATAGACCTGTGTGCAGTACACCTCTGTGGATTTTGCCTTGAAGAAAGTCGAAATATGACAGTTGAAACATTGGCCTAGTAGGACGTTCATGGCAACCAAGTATGTTATGAAAAGATTGACATCTTGAGTTTTTTATTATTTTAATTTATTTATTTACTAAATACATGAACGGGCAGGATAATCCTGGTAATGTTCATGATAAATCAAATATACACATGAGAAAGAAATATAAAGTATTACAATGGAATATTTTTGGCATGTTTCTGCATTACCATGTTTTGCCGGATAGCATATTGTATTTTTTAAGTTCAATTACTTGTTTACACATTTAATAAGCCTGTTTAGCTATTTTAAAGTTAATTGGTTACAAGTTCCACGGTTCACTTTTTTCTAATGCAGCAGCACTGTATTCAGTGTTGTGTGCATGCATGGACATGTGCGCTTTATGTTTGTGTCCAAGATACTTGAAGGAACTAAAGAGGTTTCCAAACTTTTGTGGTCCACCAGCCCCTTTAGAAGGAAACGAAAGTTCCACCACCTCCTAGTCCATAACATTAAAGTTTATATGAAATATCAAAATATTATTGCACATTATATATGCCTAATATTTCTGTTTTTTTACCTATTAAAAATCATAAAGTAGAAATTAATAAAAGGACAAACAAATGTACGATAAAATTATGTGTTAAAATTGTAAAAATTAACACAAAATCAATAAGAAATAAAAATGATGAGTCGGTTGTGATAAAATTAATAATAAATAAAACCAAAAAAAATGAGGATGATTACATTTGAACAATTTCACCCCTCTTTGCAACCCCAAACCCATCCCCACCCCTTGCCATTGGATCTGCTACCCCCCTCCCTAGAAGGCTCTAGTGCCCATGGGAGGTTATTGTCTCTGTTGGGAACCTGTGGTGTAGAGAGATATTTTGAGAAAGTAATTAGGATGTTCTCATTTGATTATGAACCCAGAGCCCATTCTTTGTGTTATTGTGGGATTCTTGGAATTGATTTTGAGTATTCTATATACGTCTCTTTGAATTTGATAGACTCAGCACACTTTTTTCTGGTAATGAAAGTCATTTATAGTGTTTGTGCATTATTTGTGGGTGATTTCATTTTTATTCAGTTATTATTTGCAATTCAATTCAATTCAAATATCTCCCGTGAATTTGTAAGTTATTTAGTGTAGATTAGTATCTATTTCTTACTATAGTGTTCTGAAGAGGGGAATGTGAAAAATACAATTTGATCACTTTTCAATTACATGTCTTCCCAACATTCCAAATCTTCAGTTGTTTGTAACGTTCAAAATTTGCAGTCCCTTGAAAAACTTACTAATGAGTTTCCATTGTATTTGTGATCGAAAATAATTGTCTTTTCCATTTCCCTATTCTTTTTGTTTCATTTTAATGTTATAGTCTTCACACCTTTCAATATAAAGACAACCATGCCTGAAACATTCATGTCAGCAGAATCAATGACAGAAGACCAGAATTGACTTGTTTGAAATAGCTTAGCATAAGATTGCACAAAATTGCACTTCTCACGACGTGCTTCACTGTTGCAAGGGTTTCGGAGGAAGACCAGCGAGGCTTGCTGAGTAGTATGCACTTGCGCCACACTACACCTGAACCAGACAGCATGCCCTCGTCCCCCTCCACGCATCAGCTGCCTTTGCGCCGTTGTGCCACTATGCCCGATGCACGCGGTTCCAACAACAACAGTTCCACAGAGGACGAGCAGCAGCTGACGGCGTGCACCCCGGCTCTGCGACGGCGCAGGGAGAGGGAGACAAAATATGTCACTGATCAGTCTCAATTGAATCTCCGTTTCCACAGGCCAGCCAGAAGAACACGCCCCATGTCTGAGATGGTTTCTGGCCCCATTCGCCAAAGGTACGTGTTGTATTGTGTGACTTTCATGTGATACAATAGAACTATCTGTGGTGTGAAAAACATATATTATTGAAACTACAAATACAATATGCTTTTATCAGTTGCAACATGTGCCTTCAAGAAAAGTTCATATTGAAATTTAGCCATAATTTTAAAAATGAAACAAGGTACCAAAGTGGAAAAGGGGGAAAAAGTATATGAAGTGTATTATTGCAAATTGGCTTTGGAATATCTTCTGGCATCCAAATATAGGAAAGATTTTGATTTTGATCCAAATTCTTCAGATGAATTCATGCTGTTTATTTGTTGCTCTAAAGTTTGTAGAAGAGGACATTTGAGATTTCTAATGATGACTAAAGATGACTAATTTCAACAAGTGTATGTGAGAGATTGACTGAGCATATGTGTGTAAGCATGTGTGTTTTTGAACATTGTTTTTGTTGTATGTATGTATGTGCATGTTTTCGTGAGCATGATTCATTCAAAATGGAACCTAAAGTACAACCTTAAAAAATCTAATAGAGCTTCTAGCAAACATTGTTTGTGATAGAAATGAATTTGTTCACACAAACTTCTCATTCTTTCGCTTATTATTTTTGTGTATATATATATATATATATATACACACATACACGCATACATATTTGTATCTGCATAAACGTGTGTGATTAAGTTAATGATATATCTAGGGAATAGATTTAAATTTAAATACCTTTTTTTTGGATAGAAGTACATGCATTGCAGTAAATTCCTTCAATAATTTTTTTAGTGTTTGCAAGACATTCTGAAGGTATAAAAAAAATTATTTTAAATATTTTGGTTTAATTATTTATTTGTACATGTTTTACCTATTATTACATTTTTGGTTACATTTATATATACAGTATTTACGTCTCAAGAAGTTCCTTCTCAGATACGAGTTTGTCCAATATAATGTTCTTTCTGCTAATCAAAGGACTGTAATATTGTACTTCTATGACCTGTAGACCTTCACCATGAGTTGTCAAACTTAAGTTCATCCCTTGAGTCTCAGAAATAATGTACGTATAATTAAGGATGAGTGAAGCAGATGTAATAGCAACCACATGCTTTCTCATGTTCCTTGAGCTCATGCGTAACTCAATTCTGTCATAATTTTTCCAACATTTTTACTATAGACACCTTCTAGCATTGAACATTTGGAGTAATCTTCCTTTAATCTAGTTAGTCATAGTCCTCCATTGCCTTTTATCCTTTTGGCTAGGGGCTCGATGCATTTGGAAGTTTCTCAGACAGTCGCCCAACCAAAAATTAGCAATGTCTCAAACTGCCTAACCTCCATAACTTTATGGAGTGTAGTTAAGGAATTTGGCTGGCGATACTGTTTTAGCTGACAGATATATATTTTGGGAGGGGAAATTAAAATACATTGAAGGCCCAGAGGCATTAATTCGACTCCTTCAGTGCTGACCCCGTCTTGTTTCTGTCTCGTGTATATCAAAAATGTTGCATTTATATCCTAGTATTTCTGAGATTGTCAAGAATATAAGTACATTTCTTGCACTTTGCATTTCTTACAGTTTGAAGCAATTGTTTGTGACTCTGTACTTGGGTTTTTATTTCTTGGCGCAGGAGGCCTTGTCTTCGCAATGGAATATCTCATGGTATTTTGCATCTTTTGCTGCTAGTTGCTGCATGATCATGATCATATCAAGCAATTCTGGCAATCATGCGACATTTAACAGCACAACTGAGAAATACACGAAAAACCATGAGAGAGTCCATCACGAAGGCAAGGCCTCACGTACCAAGAAATAAAAATCCAAGTGTAAAGATGTTGCTGAACTTTTTGCTGAGAATCATTCATTCAAATTCATTCGTGAAAATCAATCATTTTAGACATTAGCACCAATCAATCTTCTTGCCTATTGCATCACCTCCTTTAGAAGAAACTCTGGAAGACATTGACGTACAAATTGAAGATATCTTCAATGTCCTCACTTCGCTTGATCCAATCTTGTATGCTGGCTGAGATGATTTTAATTTGTCCAGCTTCTGTGTAAAGTCTTTGAAAAAATTCTGGCAGATGTAATTCTTGGCTTTACTGCGAAAACTGGTTATGTTCACACTCGCCAATATGGCTTTTTTCCTTCTTTTCGATATTTTACCACATCACAGGCTGATTTACAAACTTGCCCATCTTGATATCAGGAGAAAGCTTCTACATTGGATACAGTCATTCCTCGAGGGACTGAAGAATTTTGTATTACAATTGGAGAATACAAGTCATCACAGAGGAGCATTTGCAGTGGAGTTCCCCAGGGATTGGGATTGGAACCAATTTTATTTATCTTATTCACTAGTGGCGTGCCAAATGGTATGCACAACCATCTCAAGATGTATGCAGATGGCACCAAATTTTACTTTAACCCTCTGGTGAACCATTTCCACCTTCAAGAGGACTTGGATGGAGTACGAGTTTACGAGTGGTTGAAAACCTGGATGCTACTTTTGAATTAATGTAAGATCATGCATATTGGAAGATTGAGTTGCAATCAAAGTTACCAAATGGGTAGCTGAAACCGAGGTTATGGGGAATCAAGGGATCATGATCTCTAATAATCTCAAATGGTAAAATCACATGGTTTACATTGTGAAAAAGGTTAATAGGGCTGCTTTCATACTACGTAAAGCCTTTAACATGATTAAAGTTACATATTCATCTGTCTGTATAAGACCTGATATTCTTCTGATAGTTAAATTTTGTACTGTGTTTTGGAACCTTTACCTGATTATGGAAAATGCAAAAAAGCACCATAGATAACCATAGATCTTAGAAACATGGCTTACGATGAGCGACAGTTGAGACATGGACGTCCAATGCTTGCTGCCAGAAAACAATGTAAAGATATGATTGAAACTTTTAAGTTCTTATTCGGGCATTACAACACTCGGTAACATTTTCCCAAAAATTTGCTACTACGACCTCATAGTATGAAATTTATGCATTATCTATTACAAAACAAAAATTTTCTGAGCAACTGAGTTGTTGATACTTGAAATAATGAATCAGAGAACGTAGTAATGTCACCTAATTTTCCTTCAAAAGGGCTTATGATCGTCTTTCCAATGTGAAAAACCAAGGACCTTTCGATCTCTTTTCCTCTGATTATTTATTTCTGTGGTATGGAAACGTGATATATTAAATAATAAATTCTGTTAGCACTGAACGAGCCTATATCAGATGTATAAAAATTTTGAAACGAATAATCTAAGAATAAGGATAATTTTTAGTATAATGAAATTTCTAGATAAGAAATGAGATAAATTTATTGATTTTGATTTATTTAGTATTATTTTCCCCCATGATTTATTTTGGGAAAAAAAGAGAGAGAAAAAAACACCTAAAAATTTGTGACATTCAGGGAAGAACTATAATCTGTGCAGGTTTTCTTTAGCTCTGGAACCCCTACCCCATCTTTTACTATACGTAGTTGAATGACGAATAAAATACTAACAAAACCAGAGTAGTTTGGGGGTAAATTGTACAGCAATTAAGCAGAAAATTGTGAAAACAAGTTTTTAGAGGAAAGGAATATTTATACCAATATGAAAAATTAAAAAGTAAAAGAAAGTAACACACCTATAGGGATCAGAGATGGAAGGAGACCACTAAAAAATTTGCAACAGCAGGAACACTGGAAGACTTAAGAATCTACCAAGAATCCTGTAATAAACCGATAGAAACAGGCTATAGAGCATAATTTCTAGTCAGTTCATGATGATGATGATGATGATGAAGAAAGTAACTTAAAGAAAATAACCATGGAAGAAATGAGAAAGTTTCACTGAAAACATTGAAAAGCTAAATTTGGTTATGTTGGTGTCATCTTAGGATTAATAAATTAGTTGAACTACTTTTTTGATGGGGAGTGAAGACAAGTTGGAGTGAACCAGTCAGTAGAAACATTTAAAATGAGACTATTTTTGACATGAGCATGTTCATTAAGTACAGTAAAATTTAGATTTTTGAAAAGCCTTAAAATTTCAAGGTTTTCTAAAATGTTCAATTTTATGCCTTTATGGAGAATTTTGAAATTTTCAGTACGGTAAGAAGAGTGGTTGTTATTAATCAAATGGTTTGCAAAGCTGGAATTGTCTAAATTTAGTTTCCCAATCTGATATGTTCCTTTAATCTACAAAAAAACATTGCCCAACATAAGTACTCATTACATTTGAAAAAATAAACACCAATTTTTTTGTTGGAAGTTTATTTGATGTTGTTATTATATTTGATAGAAATTACATAAAAATTTAAAAAATGCATTGAAATGGAATTTATTACATGTTACTTAGTGCATTTAGCTCTCTTTATACAAAAAGTTCAGAGTTATTTGGAGCAATTTTTGATAAAATATTGTTTTTAAAATTGTACATATTCCACTCATTTCACAAAATGTACTAACACTTTCGAAATTGTACATGACATTAATTAAATAACTTACAATTTTCATTAGAAGAAAAAGTCTTGTATCTTTCACAATGTTGTACATGGAAGCCCCAAAAATTTGAACCGTTTGCCAGCCCAAAAATTCAGAGTAAATAGTGAAAAAATAGTCCTATGCCATCTTTATAAGGATGTTTCAATCTACATAAAATGCTTTTTTTGGTGGTTGTTTTTCAAGGGACAGGACAATATATATTTTCATTACAATCTGGAAATCAGGTTTCTGTAAAAGTACAGTAATATACACTGTTACATATATTACTGTGCATGTATATGCACAGAGGAGAAAGTGAAGATAATAAAAAACAATGACGAATAAGTTGTAAATATTATTTTATTAAAAGTTATTGGTTATATTTATTTTGCAGTAATATATTAAATAATATGTGATATGTACAATAGACTTTTTTTTCACTTGAGAAAATCAGCACTCTGGATGTAGTATGCCCATAAACTTACAGTAGTAAGTAAACTTTTGTTCCATAAATACCTAAAATTCACTATTTTCTTGAGGAATATAACATCTTAACTGAGACGGAGTGTACTCAATACTTAAATATGCTCTAAGAAATTATGGTACAGTTACTCTAGCTGAACTGAGTGGATTGGTGAGAAGTTATTTTTTCTGGGATGCCAGGTAGTCATGTGCATGAACAGTCCTTTGGCCATATTCTGATGGTGTGTGCATGTTGTGCTAACCCCTCAGGGTGTCCGTGGGTAGTGTTCCTACTCGTGAGCTGCGGGGCATCCCCAGCCACTTGCTGGCGTGCCCTTCAGGACGGGCAGAGGAGAGCAGCGAGGCAGATAGTGACTCCTCCGGCCGGGCGCCCCTGCCGCATCCCCCGCCCCTGTCTGACTTCAGGCCTCTGGAGAACAATGCTAGGTAAGACCCCATCTGGGAAGGGTCATGCTTTCCTGTAGAGCCTAAAACTGGAGTCAATTGTTTCATATGAATGAAGAATATTGCTAAGTTTAGGAAAATTATAGGTTTTTAGATTAACTTTCAGAGTAGTTTCTTGAGTGTGTTAAACAGAAAAGTGAATGAATTCAAATATTGTGGGACATGGTCAAGAAGGACATGACACTGATTTGATCTGTGTCAAAACTGTTGTGGATAGGCGTGCTCCAGAGCTTCATAGCATTTGTGTTTGGAGCATTTTGAGGTGTTATTATTCATCATGATTTTGCGAGTCTTTCGTGGAGATTCCTTCATGTGTCCAATCCCATGTTTTTGTAATGATCCTAAATTGTTTTTGGTGTTTGTGTGTTTGTTCACCCTAGTCATGTTGTAGAATATATTTTAAAATTAATCTGTGCTTGTATACCTCTTGTTTTAGTACTTATTTCTTAGTGTTCTGACAGAAGTTATTTTCTGGCATGTTCATTTTCTCTGAGAATTGTCGTTCAGTGTCATAATTTAAGAAAATAGTGTTCATTAAAAAAATCTGAGTTAATTTTGGTGTAGAGATAGATATTATTAAGATACATGTGTTAACTGAACAGTATGTTTGTGAAAGTAGTGTTGTGTGGTCATAGTTTTAGAAATTGTGTGGGCAACCAATGCGTTTTCTATGAGCACTATTACAAAATTTCAAATTCCTCTTTAAAAGGATTTTCTTAAGTGCTTTGGATTTAGCTATACAGTCTCAGAATGTTGTATTAATTAGAAGAAACTATGATCATCAGGACAGAAACAGTAGGGCTGGTTATTTATAAATCAGGAGCAGTAAATTGCTCATTGTGCAGAAACAAACAAGAAAAACATGTCAGCTTTCCCTCTTGGATGGCTGAAAAATTGAATAAAAAATAAAAATTTACAAAACTCAAATGTACTTTTCGAAGAATGAATAATAGCATGGAAATTTTCAAGAGGAAAAAAGGTTTTTATAAAATATAAAACCATAATTCTTAAAAATTTGTATTTATCAATATAAGTGAAACCATCACTTATGCATCAAAACAACAGTAAGCAAACAAAAGAAAAACTTTAATATTTTACTCATGTTAACAGTTTGATTCTCATTGTAGCAGTCAGAGCTGGTATCAAATAAAATGAGCAGTTTTCCAGCCACATTTTGTAGAGATTTGACATATATCTTTTAATCTGTTTTTATATATTTATTTACAAGCAATCGCCTAAAATTATATACTTAGAATAATTATCAGTTATAAAAAAATCAGTTAACAATTTTTCTATGATTAAATTGACAAAACCAGTTACAAGAGTTGTGTAAAGATCAAAATCAGTATTATGTGCCTCAATACATACATTAATAGAATTTATATTCTGACTTATTCTCCATAAAGGAGCATTCAACCATCTGTTCATCATACAATTAGGTGTATAATGAGTAGGATAAATATGCCTATGAGTTCTAGTAGGGATTAACCAATATATATTGGAGATTAATGAACATTGTTTTTTATTCCCTACAGGTGTCGCCGGTTCCATCCAGTAGTGTCAGATGGTGCTGTTCGCGAGTCATGAAGACCAAATCGAGTAGGCTGCTTTTCTTGCGGGCCTTCAATGCTGTATCATCTCGAAGATTTAAATTTATAGATATGCCATGCTAAATGTTGTGGCAAGGTTTGTTAAAGCTCAGAGCCATACCTTGTTAGGGGAGGTGCAAAGCTGGTGAACTGCTTGTATGAGCAAATGCTGGTTGAGGCCGTTGTCTGGTCCAGAAAGAAAATAGAACCAAAGTAGACTGAACCAGTTATCACATTTTTCAGATTAAATCAAGATAAGAAAAGCCTTGATTCTCTCTGCACAGCTTTGAAAATTGCTTATACTCCGATTTTATTAGACGGAAATGTGATTAAAGGTTTTAGGTTCACTTTTGCACTAAAAATAGTTCTCTGATATTGTGCATTAAAAATGAAGCCTTTTTCAAGAAAGTTAGAATGTTTTGTCTATTTTGGGTCTTCTTTCTTTCAGTACTTAGCTGTAAGATTAAATTATTTTATGGCTAAGACAGTATTCTCTCTGAATTGGATGCAGCTTGTGGTGCCACTGCAAAACTGTTACTTATTGAATCAGTAGAAGTAACAATCTATATTTTGTTAGGTGTTTGGGTAGAATATGTATACTTTGGTCAGATAACGTATATCTTTAATGGAAATTTCTGATTGGCAGGTGAACAAAAGATATGCTAATTTATGTTGCCTTGCAGGGCTACTGTTATTGGGTAGTTGTAACCAAACATGAACATTTTGCTGGAGTCATTTACTGTGGGTGATCTTTATGGAAGTTGTAGTTCATCATTTTTCCTGCACACTACATTGTTTTATAATTGATTTGTACAGTGCAAAACTGTATCTCGAGAAAGTGGAATCTTTAACTTTGAAGAAGAATTATAAGTGTGTGTATTTGAGCACTATAATTTATTTTTTTAGTTTTAAAATAAAATATATTTTTTAGTCTACAGTAAAAGAGCTGTACTTGATCTTGTAATCACTGGTAAGTTAATTAATTCTTGTGGTTGTGTCCATTGCCTATGCAAATCCAACAAGGTGACATTTTTATGGCTTCAGTACTAATTCACTCATTTTGGGAATCAACTAAGCAGAGATAGCTTTACAAGCAAATTCATCTTTTATTCACTCATGCTTAGTATATAAACGTTGCTCCAAAGTGATCCCATGGTCAAAAGATCTCTTTTGTGTTGTTGATTTAAGAACAACATTAGATTGTTTATTGTTGATATTGTTAAGTTTATTTGCTCATGAGTTTTTGCTAGTCAGATGATCACTTGCTGATCTTATTGAGCTCAAGAAAAGCCAATACTTAAGAATTATTTTAACTAGTCATAAAACATATTTCACCGTGCATAGGAAAGATGATCCAATGTTTTTATACATGGATATATATAGAGAGAAATTGTCTCTTTATGAGAAATGGGTGCTTTGTTTATATGAATGTTAGGATCATGCACTAAGAAATAAAATGTCCAGAAATGATGTCCTTTATAAGAAAGTATACTCATATTTTTCTTCCTTATGGGTGCTTTAAGAAGGTTGAAAGAAAATTATTATTTATTGAAAAATTATTATTGGTTTATGATGAATTTTCTCATCATATTTGTTGTAGATTGATGTATTATATCTTTGAGAGTTGCAATTATAATTAATAAGTTCAAGCAAATTTTTGATTTGTTGCTGTTCTCCTGATTTAATATAATTGTCCTTTACAAGAGAAATGTATTTTGTAGTTGACTTTTTGTATAGCTCAATGCATAACGGTGCTTTTATTTTTATGTGTGGAAGAAACCTTAGTTTACAGAGTGAAGTTTAGTATGCATCACTAGATTCATTAGTTTTTCAACATTATTGTTGTGTGAATGGAAGTATATGACTATTGTGAATAAAAAAATATTTATGCAAAAACAGTAATATTAATATTTTCACTAGTTTCTTTTCTTAAGGTAGCAAATCTTTTGTTTAACAATTGATTCAAATTAAAGATAAAATTTGAAATTGTTTTTCCATTCCAATGTTAAGACTGGGGAAATATATAATTGACCCAATTTGAAGTATAGGCAAAGTGATGTGACTTACATTATGTAACAGAAGAGAAACATAAATTGTACTTATCATGGGGGGTGGAATCAGTGATTTTTTAGGTTCCAGAGAGCTGTGCCCATGGTGTCTTTAACATATTATCACGTGTGTGTTTGTTTCAATGACAATGAATAGATAAATGGATTACAAGTACAAGATATTTGTAATGAGAATAGTTAACTCTTTTCTTTCCTCCCCATTTCATTTTCATTGAAACCTTTCTCAATAAAGTTTCTTGCATCCACAGTATTTGTTTTTTTAGGTAACAGCCATGTAGTGACATTATGTTGAAAACTGAACAAAAGTGTTTGAGTGTCCGCATGTTGAGAGACCTGATATGTGGTTATGACCTGGAAAAAGGGGAGTGGATGTGTTAAGTTGTTAGTCAGAAATGTAATTCATCAGTAACATAGTTGTAAGTATGAATTCATAAGACTGATATTTTGAATGTAATTTGTTTTTTTAATGACATTGGATGTTAACACATCACATTGAAATTACTTCACATTGTGTGAACTGTGTGAACTTGTATTAGTATCTTTTGATTGTATGTGGACATCATTTTTGGGCATAATCTAAGAATGCATATTGTGAGGTCCTTGAATGCTTGCATATATTGTTTTGTTCTTTTTTTTTTTATTGTTGTAATTCTTCTTAAATAGAAGGTATTGTAAATCTACCTTTATAGTTAGTGGGAGAATATGTCCAACGTGTACAGTGATTTCATTGTTTAAAGCCATGCATTGTAAATATTTCTGGAATACTGTATATTTTGTTTGTATTTTATTTTTAAGTCTTTAAATCAAAGCTTGTAACATTATTAATAATCATGATGATGATAATAATAATAAAAGGTCCCAATGAATTGAGCCATTGTAATGCAAATTAAATATTAAACTGTATTGCCCAACTCTTAATTAAGAATCTTTAGGTAGATACCTTTGGGTATAATTACTAGTAATTTTTTATTCATGAATGAGGTCCAGGACAATTGTCTTTCCTTGAATAAGTTTGGTTTCTTAATTAAATTTGGGATGTCTAAAGCCTTTTGGATTTATGGGTCTTGTGGAGTATCACATTCAGCAAGTTGCTGTTATTACTATAAGGAACTAATAATCCTTTTACAAAATATTAGATGCTTTTTTTATGTACTAATGGAAACCTTTCTCAGTAAACAAAAGTGTTTTCAAATTACCAACATGGATTTAGAAAATCAAAATCTATGGAAACAGCCATATTGTAAACGATTATTAAATCTGGTGGAGTTAGATCCTCTATTTTATCGCATTTTCACCCTTCTCTTCAGCGTCTCTAGATTTTATGCCTAATTTAAGATATTCCAAACTTTTACTCACTCAAGACCTCAATATTTAGAGAATTTCAATGTATTTTTCTTGTTTCTCATTTATAAGAAGTTTAAAACCTAGTCCCTCTTAATTTTACAAGTAGCAACCAGTTGATATACCATATATTTGTTAGCAAATATCATGAATTTACTGCATCATAAATAATATGAATATTTTAGAATGTTTTATGAACACTAATTTTTAAATGTTTATAATTTACTGCATTAGTATTATCTAGTAGGTCCTTCTTTTTGTAATAATTTTCCTTCAAAATTATTATTTCAAGGTGAACCAAAAGTAGGTATGGAAGATACAGCAATTCATAATTGTTTAATTTTACATCCAAACCGTGTAACTCGCTACATTTAATGTATTAAAAAGTGAAACCAAAATTATCAGATAGAATGATATGAAGGAATATTTGATATCCTGATACAAAGCTTGAATGTTTATTTTATATATTATCTCCTTTTTAAAAACAATAGGTAGTTTCAAATGACTCACTTCATTTGTTAATTTCACATAAAGATTGTACGATTAGGTTTGCCATATGGATAACAATGGAATTCAGGAACCAAAATATATTTCAGAGCAAATTGTTTATTTTTATAGAACTAATCAAGTGAATCATGTAATAGGGAAATAGTTCATCAAGTTAACAGTTCATAGTTATAATTATTATTAGCCTGTTCCCAGCCCTTAGTAGGGCAAAGGCCAATTACATTGTAAGGTTCTAAATTTATAAGCTAGATAGCTTGTAAGTTACTATTTTTACTTTCCCGTATACATACGTATATACGGAGTAATATATTTAGAATAGGGTAAGTTATGTAATGCTACGGAAGATCGATTTAGAGATTTCAACGGAAATACACGTTTTGGGGTCCCCTGATAACAAAAAAGTGGTTTTTCAAAATGTTCGTCTGTGAACACCACTACCGCATAAATCGCACGTAGGATTTTTTTCCAAATAGGTCGCGATCGATCTGGATCCAGCCGAAGCTTTTAGGTTTTGGAAAGCTTTCTTTAAAATTTGGGGGCACTTTACATAAAGCTCCGCGGACATTCTCAAAATTTTCTCAAAAACGGTTCCAAATTGTTTTAAAGAATATAGAAAAATACACCTATAAAGGGGGCATTGCTCCGATTTTCACGGTTAACTCTTGAAGTTTCGAAAATTACAAAAGTTTGAAATTTTTTTGGCTTCTTCCTACAACTACAAAATTTAAAATAGATATTGATAAAATTGGTTTTCCATAGTGAGTTCTTTCATTAAAGTCATATACAGTTTTTTGGAAATTTGCGTGTTTTCGCGCAATATTGCCTGCAATATGTGCAATTAAAAATCTCAAAAACGACTCCACATTTGTTCTTTAAACTTTTCGTTGGGATAGTGCTAAATGCACTCTATGAGATGACATAAACATCAGTTTGCTCTATTCTTTTCTTTTTTCTAAAAATACAAAAAAATATTTTTTTGACTTGTCTCTCACGTCGTTAATATTGACATTAGCGGCAATTTGTTCACATGTATGAGTACATGTACTTTAAATAATGGCATGTAAAGTTTCTCTGAAACCCAACATTTTCAATGAAAATTAGCTCGAAATTCCGCATTTTCAGAAATGCAAAACGCAAACGGCACCAAATTTTTCTTCAAACTTTTCGAACGGATAGTGCTAATTAAACTATTTAATATATGACAGAAAGTTCATTTCGGAGTATATTTTTATTTTCTCAAAAATTACACAAATTTTTTTAAAAAGATTTTTCACGTCGTACAATCACATTTCTAGCAATTTGTAAACACTATTGTACTTGGGAGTTAATGTGCTTCAAAAGACCTCTGATGAAGTTTTTCGAAAACTCAAAGATTGTCTGAGAAAACGAACTTCAAATTTACAGTAGCACTTAAGCGTCTTGAAAACTATTCCAAATATTTCAAAGAAAATTGCCATTTAGGACGGGGTTTTAGTGTTCTTTAGTATCTTAATTTCGTTCTACTATTAGGAAACCGAAAAATGGAGAATTTGTTTTTAAAAAATGAACTTTGGGCGGCGATCGCTGATATAGTTATAGTTGGTGAGAGTATGTGGCAAGTCTGAATAGCTAGCCGAGATCAAAGAAAATAGAAAACTAATACGGGAAAGTCTGTGCCATTCTGTAGCACCACTATCTTGTATACGGAGAAATATACATAGTATAGAGAAAGTTACGTAATGCTGCGGAAAATCGATTTCGAGATTTCAACGGAAACACACGTTTTGCGGTCCCAGCTGATACCGAACTAGTGATGCTACAGAATGGCACAGACTTTCCCGTATTAGTTCTATTTCCATTGGTCTCGGCTACCTATTCGAACTTGTCATACTCTTGCCTGCTGCCATCTATTGCCGCACAAAGTACATTTTTTTCTACATTTTCTTAATATTTCGGTTTTCTTAGTAGAAAAAAAATATCTTAAGGATAGTAAAGAACAGTAAAACCTCTTCCTAAACGGCAATTTTCTTCGGCGCCACAGTAAATTTGTTATTAGAAGCACTTTTTCACGTATAATTTTTGCGTTTTCGAAAAACTTTATTTGAAGTTGTTTGAAGCACTTTAATTCACAAATACAATAGTGTTTACAAATTGGTGGAAATCTGTATAATTAATGGCGTGTGAGATCTTTCAAAAAAATTACATTTGCGTACTTTTTGAAAACATTAAAAAATACCCCCGTACGTAATATTAAAGAGTGCATTTAGCACTACCTGTTCGAAAAGTTTGAGGGGATAAATTGACGCTGTTTATGAGAAAATCGCGTTTGAGCGTTTTTACAAATGCGAACTTTTGAGCTAGTTTTGGCAGAAAACGGTTGAGTTTTCGAGTAGATTTATGTGACATTATTTAAAGCAAATGTTCTCATAAATACAATAATGTGAACAAAATGAGATAATAACGTCAGAGACAAGTAAAAAATTACATTTTTGAAAAAAACAAACAAACAGAAGAATAAAGGAATATGGCGTTTATGTCATCTTATAGAGAATAATTTGCGCAATCCCTACCAAAAGATTAAAGAAAAACTAGGAGCTGTTTTTGAGAAAATCTTTTTGTAATTTTTTTAAATTGCACAAATTGCACGCAATACTGCACGCGCGAAAAGAACTATATATGATCTTAATGAAAGAACTAATTATGGACAATAAATTTAATTTGCAGGAAAAACCTCTACCTTTGATTTTGTAGTTGTAAGAAGACACCACAAATAATTCATACTTTTGAAATTTTCCGAAACTTCAGAGTTAACTGTAAAAATCAGACTTATGCCTCTTTTATAAGTGTATGTTACTCTATTCTTACAAGAACTTTAAAGAAAAAAATTGGAACCGTTTTTGATAGAATTTTGAATATGTCCTCAGAGCGTCATGTGAAGTACCCCCGCATTTTAAAGAATCTTTTTCAAAATCCCAGAGCTTCGACTCGAGCCAGATGTACAGGGGTTTCTTCAATTTGGAAAAAACCCTATGCATGGTTTAAGTGCTAGGAGTGTTCACAGACACAATTGATTTTTCGGTACCAAGGATCCACAAAACAGGGATTCTGGCTACATCACGTGTTAGAAGATTTCCACCCATGGATATCTCTTTTTTTGTTATCAGGGACCGGCAATGTATTTTTTGTACACCTGGCTCGAGTGGAAGCATTGAGATTCTGAAAAACATTCATTAAAATTTGGGGATACTTTACATGAAGTCCTTAGGATATTTTCAAAATTTTCTCAAAACGGCTCCAATTGTCCTTTTTCGCCTTACGAATTTTTTGTAATAAGATAACGTTATCTAATCGTGCGGCGGAAAACGACGCATTTTCGCTAGAAAAAGTATTATAGTCGCGCATTGGTAACGTAAAAAGTGGATAAATCCTGTCGGTAAATTTAGGGGGAAAATCCTCTAACACGCCAGTTAACTAGAATCCATATTTTGTTGATTATTGATACGGAAAATTCGAGTGACAGGGAAACGTGCGTCCGTCTGTCTATGGTCAACGCTAACGGCTAATTGGTTCAGCCGATTTTCCCCAAAATTGAAATTATTCGATCGATCTGGCTGATATTGCGGGTTTTCGGCAGAAAAAAATCATAGCCGGGCCCTGGCTACGAATAACTGGATAAGTCCAGTTGCTAAATAAAGAAAAAAAAGTCATCGTACACGTTGTGTAACAAGAATCCATGTTCCGTGTGTTCTTGATACCGAAAAGTCGATTGACTGCAAAACGTCCGCCTGTCCGTCTGGTGTATGTGAACAACACTAGCGCCTAACTAGGCGTATGATTTTTTCCAAACTGAATAAATCCCTGTCGATGTGGTGAGTCAAAGATCGACGATTTTGAAGAACATGCATTAATTTTTAGGGGTAATTTACTCAAAGCCCCAAGGTCATTTTCAAAATTTTCTCAAAAATGGCTCCAATTTTTTTTGTTTAAATTTCTTGGTAGAATACAATTATATACACTTACAAAGTTGGCATTGGTTAGATTTTCACTGATTACTCTAAATTTACGATAGCTGCAAAATTTTGAATTTTTAGGCGAGATCCTTCAACTATAAAATTGAAGATTTCCTTCAAATGAAATTTGTTCTCTATAATTAGATCATTCATTATCGTCATGTATATTATTTTCGAAATTTTAGTAGTTTTCGAGCAATATTGTTAGCAATATGTGAAATTTTAAAAAAATGGAGCCGTATTTGATGAAATCTTATTTTTCTTTCTCGCAGTTACTAACGTAAGAAAGGAAATTATTGTAATCGTGCGCCGGAAACCGGCGAATTTTCGATACAAAAACTTTTATATCTGGGCCCTGGTAACGAAAAAGAGGATAAATCCAGTTGGTAAATGTAGAAAAAAGTTCCTCTAACATGTGGTGTAGCCAGAGTCCATGTTTTGGGGGTTCTTCATACCGAAAAGTCTATTGATAGCAAAACGTCTTTCTGTCCGTCTGTGCACAACGCTAGCGCCGTTCAGCCTATTTACTCCAAAATTGATATTCTTCAATCGATATAGCTGATGTCGCGACCCGTGGAATTTCAAACCGAAATTTTAATTTGTTTCTTTACATGAAGCGCCTGGGACTTTTTAAAAATTTTCAAAACAGTGTCTTTAAATTCTTTGATTAAATTTTGTTGTTGAATAGTGCAAAGGAGTTTAAGAGAATTGTACAGATCTCATTTTTGTTGACATTCCCGATTTTTCGAAAAAAATAACAAACTTCAAAATTGGAGATACAGGTTTATGTCTCAGACGAAGACTTTTGAACACAATTAGCTCTTTAA